CACAAACTTCAAATGATTGTAATTATTGTGTGAGTAAATTGCTCTAACCTGTGATTGATGAGTGAGACATATGTTTGTATGTAACCTTCACACATTCTTTTGCAAGGAAATGCGTTCTTAAGGTTTGTATTTCAAAAGTTTATTATTATTATTATTGTTATTATTGTTATTATTATTATATAACCTTTATCTATTTATATTGTGCTTTTCACAAACTTCAAATTATTGTAATTATTTTGTGAGTAAATTGCTCTAACCTGTGATTGATGAGTGAGACATATGTTTGTATATAACCTTCACACATACATGAAAACAGAAACTAATGCATAATCACAACTGCACACAGATAGATTGCTTTTTTTTAACAGCAACTTTCTTGCTGTTTTTATTGTAGTTCATATTTAGTTCAATTTAGGGGTTTTTTTGTTTGTTTGTTTGTTTGTTTGTTTTTTTTCAAAGAAATTGTACTCTTTCCGACCACAATATCTTGTGCTGTAGCTAGCTGTGCCGATGGAAGGAACCAGATCAGCCAGCCTAATGATAATCATTCCCTGGCACAATGTGACCACGTGAAATTTTAACTGGCACACAGTCAGTCACTCAAAAATGGTCGCATATGAGACCATTTTGGTCACAGTCTGGAACCCTGTGGGCACATTGCTGTGTTATTGTAACAGGATTTATAACATTATATTACATTACATTATATTATATTACATAAATCCCATTAATTTTAGACTTGACAGACAGACCTGACTAGACATAGACTTCAGGAAATCTGGACTATGCCCATGACCAGTTCTGATTGAGGCACATGAGGTTGAACTTGTACAAAACTACAAGTACCTCGGACTGTGGCTGGACAACAAGTTGGACTGGACATGCAACACAGATTACCTGTACAAGAGCGGACAGAGCAGGCTGTACTTCCTGAGGAGGCTCCGGTCGTTCAACATATGCAGGAAACTCCTGCGGATGTTCTACCAGTCGTTGGTCACCAGCGTCCTTTTTTACGCCGTGGTGTGCTGGGGCAGCAGCACATCAAAAAGGGGCTGGACAAATTAATCAGGCGGGCCAGCTCTGCAGTGGGCATGAAACTGGACTCCCTGGTGACAGTGGCAGAGAGGAGGACACTGA